TTTTTGCTTGTAACAATTTCGCTATCAGTTATGATCAATTCAAACACTGTTGTAGCACTATTTGCAGGAAAGTTGTAGGAAAGAATTCAATTTTTTTGTCACGTCAAATTGATGATATTATTATTATTATTATTATTATTATTGCAATATTAAATGCACGTGTGTTTGTAGTCGCTCTTAAAGATATTATGAACGGGGGTGTACATACTAACTAGCGTGGGTTGCATGAGAGAGTGCGTGTTTAGGAAAATGTACGGTTCCATGAACACAAGCGTACATAGTTTGCTTTGACGTTTTGAACGTGCGTCGCACGTATTATCGTATATTACGCGAATGGCAATAATTCTACCGCGAGTTTAAAAATAAAATAAATAGAGCGATTAGCTGGTTTATACAGCGCAGCAAACGCGTTTATACAGGCTGTTGCAAAAACATTCCACGTTCCAAGACTATTGATATATTTATTTCTTGCGTCACCGGAAGTGCTCTTTTAGCCTTGTATATCGAACGACCGTGTATCTTTCCACGAGAACGAGAATTTCTTTCAAGGCAGCAGATCGTCTTCGTTAGAATCGCGCGAAATACGAAATGAAAGTAACACGCCTCGTGCAACGAAACAAAAGGCCATTGTCGACGTAACCAATTGCAAGTGGATGATGCATTCTGGCGGAAAGCATCGAGATACGAACTCTTACTTGCCGCGCTATTAAAACTATTTACCATTCGTGGCCGAGCTTGCGCGTAAAAATCCTCATCGACAAACTTGGCAATTACTTTTTGCCCTTTGAACGACGACTCGTTGCAGCTTCTCGTTAGCATCATTGCTCTGTTGCATTGGCGTGCATTGGCGTCGCGAAAGATTTATCGGAGCTCGATCGGCCGATCGTATCTCCGTCGTAGTAATGACTCTCGATATGGCTTCGCAACAAGTTCCACGATTGTTCTTAACCGTGTACCTACCCATCTCTCGCAGTTAAGAATCTCCTCCTTCGCGTTATATCGATTTCCTTCCCATCGCTTATTATTACCAGCGGAATTGATTTTTTTCCTTTTCCTTTTTCGAAGAAATCGTAATTCCCGATCGTTATCGCGATTCGTGCCTCGCGCCATCGTTCACCGCTGCGTCGTCGATAAAAAGTCCGTGAAGAGAAAAGGAAAACGATGGATCAACGCGCGAAATAGGAGAGGTGGGAGGATGAAATATAAAGAGCATTTATTTTCGAGCGAGGTCGATTTTCATATCTTTGCCGGGTCAGCTGTTGCCGAGAGGCAGAAGTGACTTTAGCCAATTAAACTCTCCGTCGTGAAGATGATATTCGAGCGTTCTCAGGCAATTTCCGTTGTGTGCACAGACAGAGGCGAGCGTTCTATGCGTCGATAATAAAGGCTTTCTGTAATTCGAGGGGCTCGGGACTGAGAGCCAACGATGGTGGAACCAGCGATGGAAATAGAGAAGAGAGGAGAAAGATGGTAGGGCGAGGGGGGTAAAGGGGAGAAAAAAAGGAAAAAGAAAGAGGAAGAGACGGAGAGGGAAAGGTGGAAAGAGCGGAACGTTTTCGCGTTTCTCTCTGTGTAAAACTCGCCATTCTCGTGCTCTACCCTCGGAGAGATCGCTCTCTCGGTCTCGAAGAGCTTCTCACCCTTCGACTTGTACTACTTCTAAATGCTCCCCCGAAACGTTTTCCCCCTTGTCTTACTTCGCGATTACCGCTTCCCCTTTCCGCTTTGATATATCGTAGAAATAGGCAATAGGAATACGAATTCCCTGAGACTCCGTGTTCTCCGCCTCCTCGGTTTTCTTTTCCATCGTTCCTTTTTTTTTTCTTTTTCTTTTTTTCTTTTCTTTCTTCCTTTCGGCGAATCAGTTTCACGGATCGATAACTTGCAAGATTATTCTGCTCGTCGAGCTGCAGAAAATTCCGCGCCGCGAGATTGCAAGTGAAAATGAGCGGACGCGAGAGAGATCGAATCAATATTCTCCACGACTATTAATATACATCTTACAGCTTGATGAAAAAAATTTAATTGACTACGTGAAAATTCATTCCAAGCGTTGAAGCAACGTAAATCCCAAAGTTTCTTGCATTTTCAAAAACAGCTGCTACAATTTTGACGGTGTTATGTATTATATATTATGTATATGTTGCCATAACTGTTGAAACGTGACGAAGAATTTCAATGTCTGTCCAACTGGAGGGCAGGGGGGGAAAAAAAAGCAAAAGAAGCGAAAGAAGATTGGAAAGTTAGAAGGTAACTTAGCCGAGCAG